AGGAAGAGGAGGATGAGGAGGAAGAGAGGAGGAGAGGAGAGGAGAGGAGAAGAGGAATGAGGAGGAGGAGGATGAGGAGAAGAGGAGGAAGAGGATGAAGAGGAGGATGAGGAGGATGAGGAGGAAGAGCGTGTGGTCCTGACCTGAAGAGCTCCCTCTGCTGGCTGCTGTCGGGGGACGTCTCTCTGAAAAAGGGCACGACTCGTGATAGGCTGGCTCTCCTCTTGGACCCGCCCACTCCCAGAGCCGTGGCGCCCGACCCGCTCTTCTCCACCAATCCCAGGCCGGCGCCGTGACGGGTCAGCGCCGTGCCCTGCTTCTTCAAGAACTTCTCCAGAGGCTTCATCCCGGCCGGCATCCTGGACCACGGACCGGACCAGGGACCAGGACCAGGACCAAGACCAGGACCAGGATCAGGGACCAGGACCAGGACCAAGACCAAGGACCAGGATCAGGGACCAGGACCAGGACCAAGACCAAGGACCAGGATTAGGGACCAGGACCAGGACCAAGACCAAGGACCAGGATTAGGGACCAGGACCAAGACCAGGACCAGGACCAAGACCAGGACCAAGACCAAGGACCAGGATCAGGGACCAGGACCAGGATCAGGGACCAGGACCAGGACCAGGACCGACTCTGGGAGTCTCCTGGAGCGTCTTGAGTTCTGCTGCAGAAAACACAGGGTTAGATTCTTCTCTGATCCAAACCTGCTCCAGAAAATAAACCAGGACCTGAACCAGGACCTAAACCTGAACCTAGACCAGGACCTAGACCAGGACCTAGACCAGGACCTAGACCAGGACCTAGACCAGGACCTAGACCAGGACCTAGACCAGACCGCTCCAGACTCTGTAGTGCGGTGGGGACCAGACTGCAGAACATCAGTGATGTTTCTCACAGCTGCTCCTCCATCTCTCCTCCTCTTCACGTGTGGCGCGTGGCGCGGGTCTGACCCACTTACCGCGGGGTGTTGAGTCCGCGGGCCGCGCGTTCTTCTCGCGGTTCTTTCGGGGCTCTGCGGCGGCGGCTACATGCTGGAGGTGCGCGGGCCGCGCGTGGGCAGGTGTGCGCAGGTGCGGGGTTCGGGCCCGTGGGCTCGTGAGCTCGTGTCCCGCGGGCTCGTGTCTCGTGTCTCGTGTCTCGCGCTCGTTGGTTCCGCGCTGGTCTCGGTTCGTCTCCTCCGGTGCCGCAGCCGCCGCTTCCGGGGAATCCTGGAGCAGCAGTCCGGGCGCAGCGCTCCCCGCGCGGCTCGTCTCTCCGCGGCGCCTCGGAGCCGCTCCGGGTTTGGCTCCGGTTCTGTCCGCGGTGACTCGGATCGGTCCGGGGTCCGAGCTCGAACCGCTCTTCAAGCGCCGATCCCGGGACGCGGTGAAACGCGCGGCGGTGTTTTCCAGGTCGCGCACTGCGGAGCTTCCTCCGCCTCTTCCCGCGAGCCACGTGCACGCGCTCTGCTGCAGCTGCGCGCACCCGGGGATCGAGAGCGCGCACGGTGCACCGTGAGCTCGCGCTCAGAATGGAAATATCCCGGACACACCGCGCGCGCCGGAGCCTCCCCCGCGGTTTGTCCCGAGGGTCTGAGGTTCGACTCCCGACGCGCGTGCGCCTCAGGTTATTACACGTGTTATTACACGTACGTGTATTATACACGTGTTATTACAGGTATTATACGCGTGTGTACGTGTGTATGTACACACACACACACACACACACACACACTCACACATCTGTAAAAGTAACAACACCCGCGTGTCCCGGGACTCTGCGCCACCGAACCCTCCGAACCGGGTCTGAACCGGGTCTGAACCGGGTCTGAACCGGGTCTGAACCGGGTCTACACCGGGTCTACACCGGGTCTACACGGCAGAGTTTCTTCTTCTGCTCTGATGTCAAAAAATGTCAGAAAATAATGACGTAAGCAGCCTCCTCCGGGCCGCGCACGCGCCACAGCGCTACTCTATTACCTAAATGAATAGGCCACACGCACGCGCGCATACACGCGCGCACACACACACTTTGTTTAGACCGACACACGCACGAGACGTCACCATCAATCAGCCAATCAGGAGCCAAGCTCGCGCGCGTCTCCCAGCTGTCACCGTAACGTGCACACGCACACACGCGTCACACACGTGCGCACACACACACGTCTCGTCAGCCTGTGGGCGTGTCCTGAGTGACGTCACCACAGCTCGGCTCCAGTCAGATGAGGCTCAGTGAGGTCGGCGCTCTGAGGGTCTGAGTCCACGTGAGGAACAAACTCCGGGTCACGTAGAGTGGGTCAAAGGTCAAAGGTCAGAGAGCCAGAGCTCATGGAGCCCGACCACACATGAGCCGTCGTCTGTAGAAAAGTCCTGTGTGTTCAGTGAGTGTGTTCAGTGTGTGTGTGTTCACTGTGTGTGTGTGTGTGTGTGTTCACTGTGTGTGTGTTCAGTGTGTGTGTGTTCACTGTGTGTGTGTGTTCACTGTGTGTGTGTGTGTGTGTGTGTTCACTGTGTGTGTGTGTGTGTGTGTGTGTGTGTGTGTGTGTTCACTGTGTGTGTGTGTGTGTTCAGTGTGTGTGTGTGTGACTGTGTGTGTGTGTGTTCACTGTGTGTGTGTGTGTGTGTGTGTTCACTGTGTGTGTGTTCAGTGTGTGTGTGTTCACTGTGTGTGTGATTCTGTGTCTCAGGTTTTACGAACAATTTAGACCAAAACAACGAAGTCACAAGAGCCTCTGGAGCACTTCCTGTTTGACCCAAGATGAGGAGAAATATGAACATGTGTACAGACCACAGACACATACACACACACATTACATACACACACAGACAGACACATACACACACACATACACACACAGACACACACACACACATACATACACACACAGACAGACACACACACACACACACAGACACACATACACACACACAGAGACACACACACACATACAGACACACACACACACACACATACACACACACACACAGACACACATACATACAGACACACACATACACACACACATATACACAGACACACACATACAGACAGGTGGACAGGTGAAGTGTCAGAGGCAGGTGCTTTGTTACAGATTTATTGATTTTTTCAGCAGCAAATAGTCTCTTTAAACTAAAACATGAACCAATCAGACGCGAGCGCTGTGATCACATGACACATACAAAGAAACTTTATTAACACGGCGTCTGGAACAGTACGAACAGAACGCTTGAACCGAACACACGGCGGCAACGCCAAACCGTAAAAAAAATCATTAGAAAAGAAAGAAAAGTCCTCCTGCCGCTCTCCGTCTGGAAACATCCCACAGGTCAAAGGTCGTCCACGCTCGCTCCGGTCTGCTGCTCCCGCCGGGCCGTCTGCAAACACCAGGAAATGACATCACACACAGTAATGATGATGTCACTAATAACTCGTCTCCATGGACACAGGAGACAGACAGGTGACAGGAGACAGGAGACAGGTGACAGGAGACAGGAGACAGGTGACAGGAGACAGGAGACAGGAGACAGGAGACAGGAGACAGGAGACAGGTGACAGGAGACAGGAGACAGGTGACAGGAGACAGGAGACAGGTGACAGGAGACAGGAGACAGGTGACAGGAGACAGGAGACAGGTGACAGGTGACAGGAGACAGGAGACAGGTGACAGGAGACAGGAGACAGGAGACAGGAGACAGGTGACAGGAGACAGGTGACAGGAGACAGGAGACAGGTGACAGGTGACAGGAGACAGGTGACAGGTGACAGGAGACAGGAGACAGGTGACAGGAGACAGGTGACAGGTGACAGGTGACCCTGTCAGTGGATGTTTATGGGCAGGTGACTCTGGTTTGGCCCAAAGACTCGAAACGAAAAGATTAAAACTCTGACCACAAACCGACCGACGTCACCTGAGGATCTGATGTTGTGTTGTTGTTGTTGTGTTGTTCCTGGTCACTTTGAGCTGGACTTGTGTTTGTTTGTTTGTTTGTTTATTCTGAGTCTGTTTCATCTCCAAACCTCCAAACACTCTGTTCCACCTTGTGATGTCATCAAGTGAACAGCTCCTTTTCCCTTTAGTTCCAGATGATTCTAGTGCAGGTGTGTGGAGTTTAAAAACACCGTGGAGCACTTCCTGTATGTGCTTCCACATGATGACATCACGAGGTGGAACAGAGTTTTCAGTGTGTCGTGAGTCCAGCTCTGAAGATCAGGTGGGTGTGTGACCTTTAACCCCGGAGGTTCTCGTCTGTGGGGAACCTGACACAATGATTTGTATTTTTATTATTTTTTTTAGTTTTGAAAAAGACAAAAGTGACACGTTGATGATTTCACAGTGAAAATGTTGAAACGTGGACGTCGTTTTGTCCCTGATATAAAATATCAAATATGGAGCCAAAGTTTTTCTCCAAATGATCACAACGTCTCCACACGAGCGATAAAGCCGCACTGCGGAACATTCCAGACAGACACACACTCACCTGCGCGTCCCGCCGGGGGAGGGGGGGGCTCGTGAGTGCGGGGGAGGGGGCGGGTCACTCGGAGGCGTAGGGCAGCTCCGGGGGCGGAGCGTTGGCGTTGACGGACAGCTCCGGGGGCGGGGCTTTGACGGTGACGGGCTGCGAGGTTCGGCGCGGCGGCGAAGGTTTGGGCTGAGCCTGCTGCTGTACGGTGTCGTAGTACGTCACACCGCCGTACGTCACCTGGGCCTGGGCCTGGGGGGGCGGGGTCATGGAGGGTGAGGAGGGAGGGGTCATGGGGGGGGGGGGGGGGGGGGGGACAGAGTAGAGAGTTAAAGATCTTGTACTTGTCGTTTTAGATCCAGATGAAAACAAAACCAGAAGGAAACCAGAAAACACCTGACACACACACACACACACACCTGACACACACACACACCCTGACACACACACACACACACACACACTGACACACACACACACTATACACACACCTTACACACACACACACACCTGACACACACACACACACACACACACACACACACACATGACACACACACACACACACACACACACACACACTGACACACACACACACACACACACACTGACACACACACACACACACACACACACACACACTATACACACACCACACACACTGACACACACACACACACACACACACACACTATACACACACACACACACACACACACACACACACACACTGACACACACACACACACACACTGACACACACACACACACACTGACACACACACACACTGACACACACACACACACGACACAGACACACACACACCGACACACACACACGACACACACACTGACACACGACACACACCGGACACACACCTGACACACACACACACTGACACACACTGATGAAAATGATTGATCCAGTAAAATGAGGTTTATTTGGTGAAATGTAAAAACCATCAGCTGTTTACAAAAAACAAAAAACAGAACCATTTCAAAAGCTCAACACACGTGTGTTCGTATTAGAAGTGATTTCTCCAAATTCAACACAAAATGTTGCTTTTAATGAAAACTGGAGCCTCAAAATGACCCAGCGCCTGAACACACACAAACACTCCTCACGAGAGCAGACGGGAGCAGACGAGAGCAGACGAGAGCAGACGAGAGCAGACGAGAGCAGACGAGAGCAGACGAGAACAGACGAGAGCAGACGAGAGCAGACGAGAGCAGACGAGAGCAGACGAGAGCAGACGAGAGCAGACGAGAGCAGACGAGAGCAGACGAGAGCAGACGAGAGACAGACGAGAGCAGACGAGAGCAGACGAGAGACAGACAGAGAGCAGACGAGAGCAGAGACAGAGAGCAGACGAGAGCAGACGAGAGAGCAGAGAGAGAACAGACGAGAGCAGACAGAGCAGACGGAGACAGACGGGAGCAGACGAGAGAGCAGACGAGAGCAGACGAGAGCAGACGAGAGCAGACGAGAGCAGACGAGACAGACGAGAGCAGAGAGCAGACGAGAGCAGACGAGAGCAGACGAGAGCAGACGAGAGCACAGACGACGAGACAGACGAGCAGACGAGAGCAGACGAGAGCAGACGAGAGCAGACGAGAGCAGACGAGAGCAGACGAGAGCAGACGAGAGCAGACGAGAGCAGACGAGAGCAGACGAGAGCAGACGAGAGCAGACGAGAACAGACGAGAGCAGACGAGAGCAGACGAGAGAGCAGACGAGAGCAGACGAGAGCACAGAGCAGACGAGAGCAGACGAGAGCAGACGAGAGCAGACAGACAGACGAGAGCAGAGACAGACGAGAGCAGACAGACGAGAGCAGAGAGCAGACGAGAGACGAGAGACAGACAGAGCAGAGAGCAGACGAGAGCAGACGAGAGCAGACGAGAGCAGACGAGACAGACGAGAACAGACGAGAGCAGACGAGAGCAGACGAGAGCAGACGAGAGCAGACGAGAGCAGACGAGAGCAGAGAGCAGACGAGAACAGACGAGAGAGACGAGACAGAGAGAGCAGACGAGAGCAGACGAGAACAGCAGACGAGAGCAGACGAGAGCAGACGAGAACAGAGAGAGAGAGCAGACGAGAGCAGACGAGAGCAGACGAGAGCAGACGAGAGCAGACGAGAGCAGACGAGAGAGACGAGAGCAGACGAGACAGATCTGCTGCGGCCTCAGACACGTGAGCCGCTCAAGAGGCTCGGGTGTTGTGTTGCGCGGAGGTTCTGGTGTTGTGTCGTGTCATGTTGTGTCGTGTCATGTCGTGTTGTGTCGTGTCGTGTGTGTGTGTTGTGTTGTGTCGTGTTGTGTTGTGTCGTGTTGTGTCATGTTGTGTTGTGTCATGTTGTGTTGTGTCATGTTGTGTTGTGTCATGTTGTGTTGTGTGTCATGTTGTGTTGTGTGTCATGTTGTGTTGTGTCATGTTGTGTTGTGTCGTTGTGTCGTGTTGTGTGTTGTGTCATGTTGTGTCATGTTGTGTCATGTTGTGTCATGTGTGTTGTGTCATGTGTGTCGGTGTTGTGTGTTGTGTCGTGTGTGTGTCATGTTGTGTTGTTGTGTGTTGTGTCATGTTGTGTTGTGTCATGTTGTGTCGTGTTGTGTGTGTCATGTTGTGTCGTGTTGTGTCGTGTCATGTTTGTGTCGTGTTGTGTCGTGTCATGTTGTGTTGTGTCATGTTGTGTTGTGCGGTGTTGTGTTTTGTCATGTTGTGCGGTGTTGTGTTGTGTCATGTTGTGTGTCATGTTGTGCGGTGTCGTGTTGTGCGGTGTCGTGTCGTGTCATGTTGTGTTGTGTCATGTTGTGCGGTGTTGTGTTGTGTCATGTTGTGCGGTGTCGTGTCGTGCGCCTCCCGCTGCAGAGCGTGAAGACGTGGGCGTGTCTTACCTGGGGGGTGGGGTACATGGCGGGGTAAGGAAAGGTCATGACCCCTGGGGGCGGGTAAAACGGCGGTGGGAGGAGCTGCTGCGGTTGCGCCGGCGACAAGGAGACCGACGGGGCTCCGAAGAGGGCGGGGTTTGTGATGGGGCCTCCTGATTGGTGCGGGTGTAGACCTGAGGAACACGGAGAACGTGACAGAAAACAAACCCCACGAATCAACCTGACGACCGACGGGGACCGACAGGGACTCACCTGGATGTGGCAGGTGCATCTCCGGTTGCACCAGCATGCCCTGCGGCGCCAAGGGGGCGGGGCCATCGCTGTGACCGTACATTGGCCCCTGGTACGACACTGGCACAAAAAGAGTACAGTTAGACCTGCTTCAGTCCCGGTTCAGTCCCAGTTCAGTCCCGGTTTAGTCCCAGTTCAGTCCCGGTTCAGTCCCAGTTTAGTCCCAGTTCAGTCCCGGTTCAGTCCCAGTTCAGTCCCAGTTCAGTCCCGGTTTGGTGCCGGTTTAGTCCGTGTCTTCAATTGAACTCAGATGATCCTTGAGACAGTGTCAAGTGTCTCATTTTGTCATCATCTCCTCCCCCCTGACTCCTCCCCCTTACTGGGCTCGTAGTAGTGTCCCTCCATGACGCCCAGGTGCATCGGGGGGGCGGGGTCTGGGACGCTCCTCTGGCGGTGGGCGGAGTAACGCTTCGCTCGGTTTGAGCTCATCTCGTCCAGAGGCGGGAACTGTCCACCGGGGACGTGCAGAGGGTTAGACAGACCTGAGGACAGAGGACAGAGGGTGAGACGGACCTGAGGACAGAGGACAGAGGGTGAGACGGACCTGAGGACAGAGGACAGAGGGTGAGACGGACCTGAGGACAGGACAGAGGGTGAGACGGACCTGAGGACAGAGGACAGAGGGTGAGACGGACCTGAGGACAGAGGACAGAGGGTGAGACGGACCTGAGGACAGAGGGTTAGACAGACCTGAGGACAGAGGACAGAGGGTGAGACGGACCTGAGGACAGAGGACAGAGGGACAGAGGACAGGAGAGAGACTTGACTCATGGGCACGTCTCATTATTGTTCTGGCTTCCTTCTCCTCGCTGGTCTTTCGTCAGGTGCAGGTTCTGACCTGAGTAGGAACTCTCTCATGTTCTGGACGGTTTCCTCTTCTCAAACTGTTGGACCAAATCCCACGTTTAAAAGTTCACAGGTCACGGGTCACGTGAACGACCCGAAGCTCAGGGCTCCTGTCTGCGCATGAACACCTCCACCACCTCCACCACCTCCCCCACGGATTAAAGGATATTTTATATTATTACAGGCCTTTAAATCAAACTCACAGCAGCAGAACAGAGACCTGCTGCTGTCCACGTCCTGAACCCCCAGGTCTCCTGCGGTTCCCTCGGTTCCTCTGAGCTTTGGAGACTTCATCTGGAGTATTCAGGGTTTCCAGGTTTGCCTACCCCAAATGTAAGATTTTTAAAGACCTTTTTCACTTAAATGAAAATTAAGAACAACATCTATCCACCGTGCAGGTGAAAAACAATTCTAAAAATGACCAACCAACTGCTCTGTCTAGAACAGAGGTGCCCACACTTTCAGCACGAGAGCAACTTATAAAATGACCAAGTCAAAATGATTTATCTAATACAAGGACAAAGTGTGCTGCACTGAAACACTCTGTGCCTCTTTTTTTGGACCTTCAACCACAGTTTGAGAAGCTCTTCTGTAAGAAAATTTCCAGTGACACTTTACACAAAACTGAACAAAGTGAACAAAGTGGGTAAGATTTTTAAACCTGGTTTTTCAACTTTCTAACTGCAGTTACTTTCTCTTATTGGTTTTGCAGGAGTGTTCAGCCTCTGCACATTCACCAAACCAAACGCACAGCGACACAAACAGATACACAAAGTGCATTTGTCACTTTTATGAGACGAACTTCAGCCACGTGTCGCAGTAGATCTGTTCTGTTCTGTAGATCTGCTCTGTGGAACTTACATTTAGATTTGATTTTTCTTTGCATTTGGTCTTGTTCTTCTAATCAGCGCAGTGAGGAGGCGCCTGTGTGAGCTCTACACGGGGAGGAGCTGCGCGTCGACGTGGGGCGGACACACGGGTCGGACGACGCTGGTACACGAGGACACACGAGCGAGTGTGTGACTGTGATGTGCAGCACTTTATCTACGGGTTCCAAATCAACACACAGGCTACAGACAGACGCCCAACACGCCGCTACATGTTTACTGCCCACAGCAGCGGCTGGAGTGAAATATGATCTCACCTGGACCGAGACAAGACCAAGTCCAAACACGATAGAGTCCGAGACGAGACCGACACTGAGATCTCCCCACACTATTCTGGTGATCGACATATTGGACACCACTGACCTACAATCTAAGAGTCCTTGAGGATTAAACCGACACTTCCCTGTGATCCAGTTGACGTCTTCCTCCATCTACTGATGTTTACTTGTTGTCGCTTCGTCCAAACTCCAAATTAGACGTTCATTCACGTTACATGATTTCATGTTGTTTTTTTACACGCAGCCCGGGTCAGTTTACAAAAAAACAGGCTAATGAAATGTAAGACCTTTCTGAAAAAAATTTAACTTGGACAACAGAATTTCAGGCTTTTTAAGACCCTGATTAGGAACATGAACTGTAAGACCCTTCAGACTTTTCAGACCCTGCGGCTGCTCTGGTGTTTGACTGACACATGAAAAATGGAGGATTGAGGAGAAGGAAGTGAGGAAAGAGAAATGAGACGTGCCCAGAGAGACGAGTGAACACGGGACACGAGACCAGAGGGCGCCGCGCCGGCAGGGGGCGCCACGCCGCATCTCACCTCGCATTTCAGAGCGGATGTAGGACGTGGGGCTCTGGCTCCAGTTCTGACCCAGACTGAGTCGTGCCAGGTCTTGTTCCATGTCAGAGAGTCCGCCTGCGGGCCCCGCCCCGGTGCCGCCTGAGGGGGCGTCGCCCGTGGCCCAGGACTTGGGCGAGGGCGCGGGGGGCGTGTCCTCCACAGACGTCTGTTTGCTGCCCATGTCGGCGGGCCGCGAGCGAGTCCGTCGCACCAGAGAGTACGACTTCCTCTCCACCGGGCGCTCCGTGGAGGGAGATCCGTCCCGATTGGTCGAGGCGGGCGACGGGGCATTCTGAGGGGTGGAGTCGGAGGACAGGGGGAGTGGCTTCTGCTCTGGCGTTTGGTGATAGACGGCGCCTTCGCTCAGGACGCGATCCGCCTCGTTAGCGTCCAGCGTGACGTCGTCGGGCGCTCCTCTGAAGCCACGCCCCCCTCTGGCCGTGGCCAAGCCCCCCCCACCTGCCGTAAACTCCAGCGCCACCTTCGGGCTGTGCCTGTCCCTGCAACAGAACCACACCTGTCACACCTGTCACACCTGTCACACCCGTCACACCCGTCACACCCGGGGGGCAGGTCCACTCACCCTCTGGCGTGGGGGCCTCGCACATTTGGGCCCTCGGTCCTATCGCTCCTGTACGAAGGGGGCGGGGCGTTGGGGCCGCGGCTCCTGGGGGGCGGGGCTCTGGCTCTGGGCGCGGAAGGAGCCGATTGGTTAACGGCCTGAGGAGGCGGGGCTCTGGGACCTCCACCCTGCCACGACCGGACGGGACGCTCCTCCCGCCAACGCTGCTCCCCCCGACTCGGAGACGCCGCCGGCCTGAGGGACACAGACAGGACAGGTGAGACGAGGACAGGTGAGACGGGGACAGGTGAGACGAGGACAGGTGAGACGGGGACAGGTGAGACGGGGACAGGTGAGACGGGGACAGGTGAGACGGGGACAGGTGAGACGGGGACAGGTGAGACCGGGACAGGTGAGACGGGGACAGGTGAGACGTGGACAGGTGAGACGGGGACAGGCTCCTCTACTGCCTCCTCCTCCTCCTCGTCTCACCTGTTCCTCCTCTCCCTCCTCCTGTCGGCCGGCCCAGTGTTGTTCCCGGTGTTATTCCCAGTGTTGTTCCCGGCGTTGTTCCGGTTGTTGCTGCGGTTGTTGTTGCTCCTGATGTCGTATCCGTAGATGGCGATGAGTTCTTCTCGACTTTTTGGAGCTTGTTCTTCTTCTCTGAATCGGTCGTGTTCCCATCGACCTTCGTCCTTCCACAGTTTCCGGTTTCGTCCTTTGGGTCTGACAAAGAAAAGAAGAAAAATAAACTAGGGTGAGGCACATTAACATGTTAACTAATTAATTCATTATTGCAGGCAATTATTTTTCTCCCCTTAATGCATTTTTGTTATTTTTTATTGTAAGCGTGTGTTGCTCACAGGCTTTTGTTTTGAAAAAGTCCATCGTGTTTGAGTCTAGAATGTTTCTGCTGCAGCATCACAGGAAACAGAAACAAACATGGAGAAGGATGAGGAACATTTACATGGACATTTTCATTTTAAAGATCTTCAGACTTATCCTCCCACCTCTCCTCCTCCTCCTCCTCCCCCTCCTCCTCCTCTCCCTCTCCTCCTCCTCTCACCTCTCCTCCTCTCCTCCTCTCCTCCCTCCTCCTCTCCTCACCCTCTCCTCCTCCTCCTCCTCTCCCTCCCTCTCCTCCTCCTCCTCCTCTCTCCTCCTCCTCCTCTCACCTCTCCTCCTCTCTCCTCTCTCACCTCTCCTCTCTCCTCTCTCCTCTCCTCTCTCTCTCCTCCTTCACTCTCCTCCTCTCCTCCTCCCTCCTCCCACCTCTCCTCCTCCTCTCACCTTCCTCCTCCTCTCCTCCTCTCACCTCTCTCTCACCTCTCCTTCCTCCTCTCCTCTCACCTCTCTCCTCCTCCTCTCCTCTCCTCTCCCTCTCCTCCTCCTCCTCCTCCTCTCACCTCTCCTCCTCCTCCTCTCCTCTCTCCTCCTCCTCCCTCCTCTCTCTCTCTCTCCTCCTCCTCCTCCTCTCTCACCTCTCCTCCTCCTCCTCCTCTCCTCCCTCCTCCTCCTCCTCCTCCTCCTCTCCTCACCTCCTCCTCCTCCTCCTCCTCCTCTCCCTCCTCCTCCTCCTCCTCCTCTCACCTCTCCTCCTCTTGTGTGGCTCCTCTCAGGTCGTGTTCAAAGAACAGTCCTTTTCGGGGGATGTAGGCTGGGTTTTTTCGGTCTTCGTCGTCGTCCAGTTTCTGTTTCCCTCCAGACTTTGTCTCTGGATCATCTGTCGACTCCTACAACAAAAACACAACCGGGACTGAGCCGGGACCGAGCCAGGACTGAGACCGAGCCGGGACCGAGCCGGGACCGAGCCGGGGCCGAGCCGGGGCCGAGCGTTCCTGCTAATGTCTCATTTATCGTTGTAAATAGTGCAGTTGTTCTTGGGTCATGTTTTTTCAGGACTTTCTTTGTATCTGTACTCGTCCATTTGTCCTGAAGGTGGAGCCAGAGCGGCTCGGGTCGCCCGCGGCTCGGGTCGCCCGCGGCTCGGGTCGCCGCGCGGCTCGGGTCGCCCTATGTCCGTCCTCTCTCTCTCTCACCTGTCCGTCTCTCTCTCTCTCTCTCTCTCTCACCTGTCCGTCCCTCTCTCTCTCTCTCTCACCTGTCCGTCCTCTCTCTCTTCTCACCTGTCCGTCCTCTCTCTCTCTCACCTGTCCGTCCTGTCCTCTCTCTCTCTCTCTCTCTCCTCTCACCTGTCCGTCCTCTCTCTCTCTCTCTCTCTCCGTCCTCTCCTCTCTCACCTGTCCGTCTCTCTCTCTCTCCCTCTCTCTCTCTCACCTGTCCGTCCTCTCTCTCTCTCTCCTCACTGCTCTCTCTCCTCTCTCTCTCTCTCACCTGTCCGTCCTCTCTCTCTCTCACCTGTCCGTCCTCTCTTCTCTCTACCTGTCCGTCTCTCTCTCTCTCCTGTCCGTCCTCTCTCTCTCTCTCTCCGTCCTGTCCTCCTCTCTCTCGTCTCTCTCACCTGTCCGTCCTCTCTCTCTCTCTCTGCACTCTGTCCTCCTCTCTCTCTCTCTCTCTCACCTGTCCGTCCTCTCTCTCTCTCACCTGTTCCGTCCTCTCTCTCTCTCACCTCCTCTCTCTGTCACCTGTCCGTCCTCTCTCTCTCTCTCCTCTCTCTCTCACCTGTCCGTCCTCTCTCTCTCTCTCTCTCCTCTCACCTGTCCGTCCTCTCTCTCTCTCTCCGTCTCTCTCTCTCTCTCTCTCCCTGTCCGTCTCTCTCTCTCTCACCTGTCGTTCTCTCTCTCTCTCTCCCTCCGTCCTCTCTCTCTCTGTCACCTGTCCGTCCTCTCTCTCTCTCACCTGTCCGTCCTCTCTCTCTCTCTCTCTCACTCTGTCCGTCCTCTCTCTCTCTCACCTGTCCGTCCTCTCTCTCTCTCACCTGTCCGTCTCTCTCTCTCACCGTCCGTCTCTCTCTCTCTCTCTCTCTCTCACCTGTCCGTCTCCTCTCTCTCTCTCACCTGTCCGTCCTCTCTCTCTCTCTCTCTCACCTCACCTGTCCGTTCTCTCTCTTCTCTCTCCTCTCTCTTCTCTCTCTCTCTCACCTCCTCTCCGTCCTCTCTCTCTCTACGTCTCACCTGTCCGTCCTCTCTCTCTCTCTCTCTCTCCTCTCTCTCCTCTCTCTCTTCTCTCCTCTCTCTCTCTCTCACCTGTCCGTCCTCTCTCTCTCTCTCTCTCTCACCTGTCCGTCCTCTCTCTCTCTCTCTCACCTGTCCGTCCTCTCTCTCTCTCTCACCTGTCCGTCTCTCTCTCTCTCTCTCTCACCTGTCCCTCTCTGTCTCTCTCTCTCTCTCACCTGTCCGTCCTCTCTCTCTCTCTCTCTACCTGTCCCTCTCTCTCTCTCTCTCCTCACCTGTCCGTCCTCTCTCTCTCTCACCTGTCCGTCTCGTCTCTCTCTCTCTCACCTGTCCGTCCTCTCTCTCTCTCTCTCACCTGTCCGTCCTCTCTCTCTCTCTCTCACCTGTCCGTCCTCTCTCTCTCTCTCACCTGTCCGTCCTCTCTCTCTCTCTCACCTGTCCGTCCTCTCTCTCTCTCACCTGTCCGTCCTCTCTCTCTCTCACCTGTCCGTCCTCTCTCTCTCCCTGTCCGTCTCTCTCTCTCTCACCTCTCTCTCTCACCTGTCCGTCCTCTCTCTCTCTCACCTGTCCGTCCTCTCTCTCTCTCTCTCTCTCTCTCTCACCTGTCCGTCCTCTCTCTCTCTCACCTGTCCGTCCTCTCTCTCTCTCACCTGTCCGTCCTCTCTCTCTCTCTCTCTCTCTCACCTGTCCGTCCTCTCTCTCTCTCTCTCACCTGTCCGTCCTCTCTCTCTCTCTCTCACCTGTCCGTCCTCTCTCTCTCTCTCTCACCTGTCCGTCCCCGCTCTGTCTCTCCCCTGTCACGTTGTTCTTGTCGTCCGTCTTGCTCTCCTCTTTGGGTTCATTCTCCTCCTCGTCTCTAGGGGGTGTGTCTTCGGAGGGAGGGGCTTTGGTCACTTCCTGTTGGGCGGCGGTGGGCGTGGTCGTCTCCTCGGTGAACGCCTCCTCTTCCTCTGCGCCCTGAAACCAGAGCCACATGTTCACTACGAGCACCACAGTGTGTGTGTGTGTGTGTGTGTCTGTGTGTTTGTGTCAGTGTGTGTCTCAGTGTGTGTGTGTGTGTGTGTGTGTGTGCGTGCGTCTGTGTGCGTGTCTGTCTGTGTCTCTGTGTATGTATGTGTGTGTGTCTGTGTGCGTGCCTGTCTGTGTGTATGTGTCTGTCTGTGTGTCTCTGTGTGTGAGTCTGTGTGTGTGTATGTGGGGTGTGTGTCTGTGTGTGCGTGTGTGTGTCTGTCTGTCTGTGTGTGTGTGTGTCTGTCTGTGTGTGTGTGTGTCTGTCTGTGTGTGCGTGTGTCTGTGTGTGTGTGTGTGTGTGGGGTGTGTGTGTCTGTGTGTGCGTGTGTTTGTGGGGTGTGTGCGTGTTTGTGGGGTGTGTGTGTGTCTGTGTGTGTGTGTGTGTGTGTGTGTGTGTCTGTGTGTGTGTGTCTGTCTGTGTGTGTGTGCGTGTGTGTGTGTCTGTGTGTGTGTGTGTGTGTCTGTGTGTGTGTGTGTGTGTGTGTATGTGTGTGTCTGTGTGTGTGTGTGGTGTGTGCGTGTCTGTGTGTGTGTGTGGGGTGTGCGTGTGTGTGTCTGTGTGTGCGTGTGTCTGTGTGTCTGTGTGTGTGTGTGTGTCTGTGTGTGTGTGTGTGTCGTGTGTCTGTGTGTGTGTCTGTGTGTGTGTGTGTGTGTGTCTGTGTGTGTGTGTGTGTGTGTGTGTGTGTGTGTGATTGGACAGGGGGCGCTGCACACTCAGGCCTGTGGGAGGAACTTTGTGTTTTTGTTTCATGTGGAGTTTTTTTCACGATCACAGATCTGAACCAGAAACCAGATCCTTACGTTAAGATTCAGTTTATTTAAGATTAAACTAAAAATGTTTTGTTTGTTTTTTTTATCCCAGATTGGCAAAGTTCAAGTTTCTAATTTTACCTCCTGGCTGAAAATCACGACATCACAGGAAATTCCCTAAACTGTTACCATAGCAACCGCGTGGCGCACCGCACTGACTTTAATCTGACAAATACAAACAAAAAATACTTTATTTTGTTGCCGTAGCGTTTCATCTAAAATATTTGTGTACATTTTGTCAAACGCCGCCAGCACGTCGTCAGTGTGGGACTCGACTTCCTCGAGTCTCACAGGTTTTTCTACTTTTCTTCAGTGTTTCCTGGATTGAGTAAAAGTATATTTTATATTTACAGCAGCTTTTATCTCCAGATGAAGCAGAAACAAGAATCAAAAAACCTCTCAGACGTTTGAGCGTCGCGCTCCAGAGCACAGTGGACTTTCAAAGAGGAGGAAGCGTCTGTACCTCGGAGTGAGAGCCGTTCTCCTCTGGATCTGCACTGTCGTAATCAGACAACACCGCTGCAAAACAACAAGACAAACATCAGAGACACAGAGGAGGGACAGAAGAGGGACAGAAGAGGGACAGAAGAGGGACAGAAGAGGGACAGAGGAGGGACAGAGGAGGGACAGAGGAGGGACAGAAGAGGGACAGAGGAGGGACAGAAGAGGGACAGAGGAGGGACAGAGAGGACAGAGGAGGGACAGAGGAGGGACAGAGGAGGACAGAGGACAGAGGAGGGACAGAGGGACAGAGGACAGAGGAGACAGAGGAGGGACAGAGGAGGGACAGAGGAGGGACAGAAGAGGGACAGAAGAGGGACAGAGAGGGACAGAGGAGGGACAGAGGAGGGACAGAAGAGGACAGAGAGGAGAGGACAGAGAGGGACAGAAGAGGGACACAGAGGGGGACAGAGGAGGGACAGAGGAGGGACAGAGGAGGGACAGAAGAGGGACAGAAGAGGGACAGAGGAGGACAGAGGAGACAGAAGAGGGACAGAGGAGGGACAGAGGAGGGACAGAAGAGGGACAGAGGAGGGACAGAAGAGGGACAGAAGAGGGACAGTGGTCTTACCTTCTCCAACTCCATCTTCACTCTCCTGCAACAGAAAAGGTTCAATATTAAAGCTTTTAGAACATGTGATCCAAGTGTGAGTCCAGGACACACAGGGGACTAAACCAGGCCTAAACCGGGAGTAAACCGGGAGTAAACCGGATTCAGTTCCCGACCTGAGCTCCAGCGGGACTCTCCCTCCTCCAGAGACCGAGTAATACCACATCTACGTCACGTCTGAGCCTTACAAGTACCCGCCCTGTCCCCCGGTAAACCCGCTCCGTTTCCCGCAGGGGCCCGGGTCTCCGCAGGGTCTCTGCCTCTGCGGGGCTCGTGGCGCCTTTTCCCGGGCGCCGGTCCGTTCCTCCCCCGGTGGGATCCGGGACGCGGACCGCCCCTGTGCCCGACCACACCGCCTCCTCCCGCGGCTCCTCACCCGGGTAGAGCCCGGTTTAACCCGCGGACCCGGTCAACGGAGCGGTTTCCCGGGCAGACGGCTCTCAGACGATGCCCCGTTAGCTCCGTTAGCTCCGTTAGCTCCGTTAGCCCGGTAAGGCTCCGTCAGTTGGACGGTCCGGTCTGAACAAGACTCCGGGAGCCTCGTCTCGGTCTGAGCTCGGATCCGACGCTCCCGGATCCACGGACCCACTTCGGGTTCAGACCGGGGACCAGCCCCGGTGAACGGCCCAAGTGACCAGCCCCGGGGCCGCGGCGTTGGCGTTGGCGGTGGTGGCGGCGGCGCTCTCCCGGAGCGGAGCGGCGGTTACAGCCCGTTAGCTCCGTTAGCCCCGTTAGCCCCGTTAGCAGCACTTACACACTCGGACTCCTCGTCGCTCTTCGGGCCGCTCCTCTCGGCGGTGGCCTCGGGGAGCTCCGGTTCTCGGGTCCGGGTCTTGGAGGACGGGGAGGCCGAGCCGCAGCTGTCGGAACCGGAGCCGGAGCCGGACTCGTCCTCGCTGTCCTGAGACGCGCGCCTCCTGCGTCTCCGCCGGTCCGCCATCTTAGGACTGAGAGCCGGAAGCGCGGGGCATTGTGGGAAGTGGAGTCCTGAGAGGAGGAGCAGCGGAAGGCTGCCCCCTACAGGCCACAGAATGTTCAGAGAGTTTGAGACGAGACCATGTTTATTTATGTTTTATTTATTTACACACAATATGATCACAATATGTAGTATATGTAGGACATATTACATATAAAGTACATATGAAACCTGTGAGATCAGATGTGCAGTAACCTCGACGGTCAGAGGAGTCGGGTCAGAGGCAGTCGGGTCAGAGGCAGTCGGGTCAGTTGGGTCAGAGGCAGTCGGGTCAGAGGCAGTCGGGTCAGTTGGGTCAGAGGCATTCGGGTCAGAGGCAGTCGGGTCAGTCGGGTCAGAGGCAGTCGGGTCAGAGGAGTCGGGTCAGAGGAATCGGGTCAGAGGAGTCGGGTCAGAGGAGTCAGGTCAGAGGCAGTCAGGTCAGAGGCAGTCCGGTCAGAGGCAGTCGGGTCAGAGGCAGTCGGGTCAGAGGAGTCGGGTCAGAGGCAGTCGGGTCAGAGGCAGTCAGGTCAGTCGGGTCAGAAGCAGTCAGGTCAGTCAACTCAGAGGCAATCGGGTCAGTCAGGTCAGAGGCAATGGGGTCAGTCGGGTCAGAGGCAATGGGGTCAGTCGGGTCAGAGGCAATGGGGTCAGTCGGGTCAGAGGCAGTCAGGTCAGTCGGGTCAGAGGAGTCGGGTCAGAGGCAGTCGGGTCAGAGGCAGTCAGGTCAGTCGGGTCAGAAGCAGTCAGGTCAGTCAAGTCAGAGGCAATCGGGTCAGTCGGGTCAGAGCAATGGGGTCAGTCGGGTCAGAGGCAATGGGGTCAGTCGGGTCAGAGGCAATGGGGTCAGTCGGGTCAGAGGCGCTCTGTGATTTTGATGGTTCATCTGTTACTTTCTGGAGCAGACATGTCAGACTCAGGCCCAGGGGCCAAATTTGGCCCAGAACATAATTATATTTGGCCCATGAGATCAAATCAAACATGTATCAGAGCTGCTGCCGCACACAGAGACGACAGAGACATGATTTATTTAAAATGTTACTATTTTATATTCTATTTGTTCTGGATTCAATATTTAAGTAAAACTATTATTAATCATTTATTTGAATAAGAAAAGGTTTAACGTTACATTTCTCCAAAGAAGAGAAAACATGAAGATGACGTTGACATTTTTCAGTAAATATCCACGATTTAGTCCCAGTTTTTAATTTTGGCCTCAGTGGATTTAAGTTTGACACCTCTGGTCTAGAGTAACTGCATCATGCAGTACTGGAGTACATATTAGAGTGTATACTTTTACTTTTACTTATCTGTACTTTTACTGCAGTACACTCAGAGTACAGCGCAGTAAAAGTATTTGTTTTGAGTTTATTTGGTCGTTTTTAGTTCAGATTTGCACGAATCAAAACCACGAGGGAAGTTTTTACTAGAACAACAATCAGACAAATACTTTGACTTTTTACTCAAGTTTTTTTTTTTTAAACGGGTACTTTCATACTTTTACTTTTACTTGTGTATTTGTACTTTTACTGAAGTAACACAGTTGAGTACTTCCTGCACTCCTGATCTCCAGCTGAACCAGCGCCTCCAAAAAAACAGACACACACAAATGTTTAATGCTCCTTTACTTTTATTTTTTACTCTGTGACTGTCATGTGACAAACAAAGCTGCCGCGTGATTGGCCGCTGCACGTGACGCTGTCCTCTGATTGGCCGTCCTCTGATTGGCCGCCGGGTGCCGGGGGGGCGGGATTTAGGTGGACGTGGTGGCGCTGGTGGAGCTGCTCACGATGTGTCCGTCAACCACTTCCTCCACGACGGTGACCACGCGCGTCTTTGTGGTGGTGGTGGTGGTGGAGGACAAACTGTGGACCAATCAGAACACACCATTTAGTCACATGACACAAAGAGACGGCACCTGACACACGGGAGGGCATCTGACGTACCTCTCTCCCTCCAGGAGTCTCCTGTACTCGGCGATCTCCAGCTCCAGGCGGGTCTTGATGTCCAGGAGCATGCTGTACTCCTGCCCCTGTCGCTCCAGATCTGCTCTGAGCTGCACCAACTGCTCCTCCAACGCCACCACCTGCAAGGGAGGGCATCTGACTCAGTCTGACACACGGGGAGGGCATCTGACTCAGTCTGACACACGGGGAGGGCATCTGACTCAGTCTGACACACGGGGAGGGCATCTGACTCAATCTGACACACGGGGAGGGCATCTGACTCAGTCTGACACACGGGGAGGGCATCTGGCTCAGTCTGACACACGGGGAGGGCATCTGACTCAGTCTGACACACGGGGAGGGCATCTGGCTCAGTCTGACACACGGGGAGGGCATCTGGCTCAGTCTGACACACGGGGATCTGAGTCTGACAGGGTCTGACTGACACGGGGAGGGCATCTGGCTCAGTCTGACACACGGGGAGGGCATCTGACTCAGTCTGACACACGGGGAGGGCATGATTGGTCTTGTGGTGGTGCAGGTCATGTCTCTGTGTCGTCCTCTGGTCCAGGTCCAAGTCTGGACTAAATCTCTTTGTATAAATTGTGTCCATTATTTGAGTTTCGCTCTGACACTTGGACGTTTATGTGACGTGTGGACGTTTGTGTGACGTTTGTGTGACGTTTGTGTGACGTGTGGACGTTTGTGTGACGTTTGTGTGACGTTTGTGTGACGTTTATGTGACACTTGGACGTTCGTGTGACGTTTATGTGACGTTTATGTGACGTGTGGACGTTTGTGTGACGTTTGTGTGACGTTTGTGTGACGTGTGGACGTTTGTGTGACGTTTGTGTGACGTTGTGACGTTTGTGTGACGTTTGTGTGACGTGTGGACGTTTGTGTGACGTTTGTGTGATGTTTGTGTGACGCTGGACGTCCTGGAGACTTTGGACAAAGTGTTGATCTGGAGTCATAGTCTGGACCTTCAGGACCCAGACTGGACCAACAAACACCAACATAAAAACACCTGTCAGTGTTACTGCACCCCCCTGTGCAGTAACACTGACAGGTGTTTTTATGTTGGTGTTTTTTTATACCAGGTCCAGACCAGGTCCAGGTCCAGACCGGATCCAGACCGGGTCCAGACCAGGTCCAGACCAGAGAAGTAGAAGTGAGGGTCTCCCACAGTGTTCAGATCCAAATGAAGCTCATTGAGGCTGCGATCATAACACACAATCTGGAGCTCAGGTCCATATGGTTCTGACCTGGTTCTGGGACTCACCTGGTTCTGGGACTCACCTGGTTCTGGGACTCACCTGGTTCTGGGACTCACCTGGTTCTGGTACCCGTTGAGTTTCATGGCGTAGCGGTTCTGAGTTTCGGCCAACGTCATCTCCAGAGACGATTTCTGAAAAACACAAAAACTACATTTAGACTGATGACTGACCTCTGTGACCTCTGTGACCCCTGTGACTCCTGTGACCTCTGTGACCCCTGTGACCTCTGTGACCCCTGTGACCTCTGTGACTCCTGTGACCTCTGTGACTCCTGTGACCTCTGTGACCTCTGTGACCCCTGTGACCTCTGTGACCTCTGTGACCCCTGTGACCCCTGTGACCTCTGTGACCTCTGTGACCTCCTGTGACCTCTGTGACCTCTGTGACCCCTGTGACCTGTGACCTCTGTGACCCCTGTGACCCCTGTGACCTCTTGTGTGTGTGTGTGCGTCGTTGCATGTGGCATTGTTGTTGTGTGTGGTTGTGCGTTGCGGTTGTGTGTGGTTGTGCGTTGCGGTTGTGTGTGGTTGTGCGTTGCGGTTGTGTGTGGTTGTGCGTTGCGGTTGTGTGTGGTTGTGCGTTGTTGTGTGCGTTGTTGCGTTGTGCGGTTGTGTGTGGTTGTGTGTGGTTTGTGCGTTGCGGTTGTGTGTGGTTGTGTTGTGTGCGTTGTGTGTGGTTGTGGCGGTTGTGTGTGGTTGTGCGTTGCGGTTGTGCGGTTGTGTGTGTTGCGTTGCGTTGTGTGTGCGTTGCGGTTGTGTGTGGTTGTGCGTTGCGGTTGTGTGTGGTTGTGCGTTGCGGTTGTGTCGTTGCGGTTGTGTGTGGTTGTGCGTTGCGGTTGTGTGTGGTTGTGCGTTGCGGTTGTGCGTTGCGGTTGTGTGTGGTTGTGCGTTGCGGTTGTGTTGTGTGTTGCGTTGTGCGTTGCGGTTGTGCGGCGGTTGTGTGTGTGTGTTGTGTGTGCGTTGCGGTTGTGTGTGGTTGTGCGTTGCGGTTGTGTGTGGTTGTGCGTTGCGGTTGTGTGTGGTTGTGCGTTGCGGTTGTGTGTGGTTGTGCGTTGCGGTTGTGTACTCACCATGCTGATCATGGACTGCAGTTCGATCTCCAGACTCTGCAGGGTGCGTTTGGTTTCCGTCACCTCAGATCGAGACGTTTGGAGCGACTCCGTCTGCGTCACCACCTCTTTATTCAGCACCTCCGTCTGTGGGCGGAGCAAAGAGCGTCACAGCCAATCACACGAGAGCGTGCACGCTCACGCCGCGCGCTCTGTGAAGGCGCTCGTACCTTGGCGTGGAACCATCCCTCCAGCTCCCTCTGGTTCTTGGCGGTGACGGTCTCGTAGTGCTCGCGGATGTCGGCCATGATTTTGGTGAGGTCCTGTTGAGGAGCGGCGTCCACCTCCACGTGGACCTGACCGCTCATCTGAGACCTGAGGGCCAGAAGCTCCTGAAGAACAAGACAAGGAACCATGAGCTCCAGCACAGAACATCAGAGAACAGAGGAGGAGGACACCAGAGGGCGAGGAGCTTCTGCAGACGAAGAGGAGCCCAAAAGCAGC